GAACAAGGAAAAACACCAACATTGAGAACAAAGTCTTCAGCCTCTAGATTGATAAGAAGTGCGGACATGCATTTAAACTGGACTAGGAAAAAGAATACTGCTTCAAAACTGCAGAGGTCACTTCTTGAAGATTCAAATATGCTTAGCATAGACATACAAAAGCTGCCTGCTTTCCACCCCACCATCTCTAAAGATAATTTTTTTTCAGACCAAAATAATAAGGAATTTATGGAAACAGAGTCTGTAACTCATAAAGTCTCAAATTCTGTACAGATGGGGGAACTTAATCTGGGGAGGAAGGACAAAATGGAAGGATTATTTCCAGAGCCTGCCACCATTAATGAAGGCATGCTTAAGGGGAGAGCAAGTTTTCAGACACCTGTTACATTGCAGGATACTCCACACATCCATGTGGGGACACACAATATTGTAGAAAGTCTAGTGATACCTGCTAGCGCTAGGACACTGAGAAATGAAAATACTGATGATAAGCAGAATAAAATTAGTAAAATGCAAACAGATGTGAGCTGTGCTGAGGTGATGATTGGTAAGCAGCAGATGGCTTTAGATACAGATCACCGTAATGTAACTGCTAGCTGCTCTGGAAATGAACGTGGCCATAGTGGCAGCAGGATACAGAAGCCTGTGCATTTTTGTCCTGGTGAGGATAAATCCTGCCATATTCAGATTCAGAATGGTGGCAAAAATGGAAGCGAAAAGCCCAGTGGAATATTGTTACAAGCTGGAGCACTGCAGAAAGCCAACAGTCATCCTAAGGATTTTCTGAAAGATGCTCTAGTAAAATCCAGAGGTGTTTGCAATGCAGGTGATGTTCAGAATGGTCCATCCTCTGATCTGTTTTCTGACTCTAGAGACTTTGAAGACAGCTTCCAGTTGGATACTCAAACTGAGATGATAATAAAACAGGAGGGAGCAGCTGGAATCACAGGACAGCAGGGAATACAAGGTTCAGAGCTGGCAGCGATATCACGGCAGGAAGTCTCCAAGAAACTAAGTGCTTCACAGACTGAGAATGCTGCTGCTGAAAGACTGGCTGCAACAGTTAGGAAACTAGGCTTATCTAGTCCTATCACAACAAATAACATTACAAAAAATGCAGCTCAGCACTGCAGTAATAAAGATTTGAAGTCTGGAGGCCCTAATTTACAGCCCATAATGAAGGACATAGAATCTGCAGTTTACTTTAAGGAAAGCGATTTCTCAGTGACTGACTCCCAGCTACACAGTTTTCTACAAGATTACCAGACCCAAAATTCAGCGAAGGAGGAGACTGTGGCTAAAGACCTTAATAAAGCAACTTCCCCTTTTGGTAGTGAGCACATTGTACAAGTAGAATGTCACCCTGTCCCTGAAACAAGCCTGAATATGAGTGATAGCTTGCTGTTTGATGATAGCTTCAGTAATATCAGCGACCTTTCAGCTGTTCACATCATGGAAGCTGACAGAAAGCCCCTTGCTTCTCCACAAGTTTCTTTGCTTGCTCCAGAAGGTCTTTTGGAGAACCTAAGGCCTGTTCAGAATAAGTTTGACGTCAGTGGCAATCAGAAAGAGCATGAGGACCCTGCAAAGCTTAACAATGTGTCTCTAGTATTCTCTGATCTAATAGCTGAAGTTTTAGATCATGCAAACTCCCCGTCTTTTCTAGAAGATACTCCTTCTGCATTTCATGGTCAGTCAGGATTAAGAAACCCAGTGATTTGTAACAATGACACCAGACCAAAGGATTTAGTAGGAGATCAAGGTGAAAAGCTCCAGAGAAGCCAACAAGCTTTAGACAAGAAAACTCATGCAGCGGTGTGGACTGGCCACTCGTTTGAACTAAGCCCAGGACTGCAGGATGTATTAGACAAATGGCCTAGTCCCTCAGGCGTTGAACCAGTTTCAGTAAGCTCCTGTTTGAAAGAGAAGTTAGTTGCTCCTATTACTAATAAAGAGCCAGATCTAGTTTTTGAATCTGACTGTTGTCAGCCAGAGACTTTGCCCACTTACCAGGATTTAAAAAGCTGTTTCAAGGTTACAGAAAACAAAACAGAAGGCTTGGATCTTCCGAAAACAGACTGCAAGGGAAGCAACAGAACATCCTGTCCTCCACCAGATAGTAATAACGCGTTTATTCCCCCAACACCCCCCAAAGACCTTTTGCCAAAGAGTTCTCTTTCTCTCTCTGTGAACTCTGCAAGGAAGAGACAAGTCACCTGTATGAATGAAGGGCAGCTGATTCAGCCACAGCAGAATAGCGAGGGCAATGCAGAGCAGCAGGTAAAAACACTCCAGGATAATCCTGGGATCGTAGACCCAGTTGAGACTGATGAGATAAAAGATGATTCCACTATAGACCAAGGCTTTTCACTGCAGCTATCTCAGGATGTTTTTCCACTCATTCCCTTAAGTGCTGAAAGTTTCACTATTATCGATGTAGCAAGTGACAAAGCACTCTTCCAGACTTTTGTTGCAGAATGGAAGGAGAAAAGCAGATTCTCCATCTCAGTGGCATGTGAAAGAACAAAATGTCTTTTGTCTCCCAAATCAACAATTGGTGGCAAATTCAAAAAAGGTCAGTTCTGTGTTCCAGCGTGTTATTTTGTGAACAGCAGGGTGGCATCTTCAGCTTAAAGCAGGGCTGGAGAAGGAAAGGGTTTGCAAAAAAAGGAGGAAAATTACTAGTAATAATTGAATACTGTCAGTCTGAGTAAAGCAAAGAAGCTGCATGTTAGTACAGATGGAAAATAGCATTTCATTGGTAGGTCTTCGGTGATAGTAATGAAGTGTTAGCAACTTGTTTGTGTTTGAGAGCATCTAAATAGTAATGTTTCATTGTATATCTAATTTTGAAATGGATCTGTGTTGTGCAGTCCCTTTATCATGTATCTTTCCATGTCATAAACAAGTTTTAGTATATTTTAAAATGAATAATGTATTTAACAGTAATAGTTCAGATTGTTCAAGGTCTCCACTGAGCAGTGTTACTTGTGGGATTGCCTCTGAACCAAGGCTAAATATTTTCAAGTTTGCAAAAGTAAACTTGGTTCAATATATGAATGTGTGAAATTTGGATCAGTCTCTGGGTTGTTGTAATATTGCTTCATCTTTTTCCACAGAAGTAGTCATATGCTGCAGTTTGCTGTATAAACATACTCTTCCTTTAAAATAACAAGATTAAGCAGAGTTAGATTCTTTGCTGTCATATTGCCATAACAACAACAATTTCTTAACTATCAAAATTTATTTTTGACAAACAAATGTGAAATGTTTAAAAGTTTTTCAGAATGAAAGGAGGGAATACATTTCTGTCTCAACTCTTGAAGAGATTGCTAGGAAGGGCCAGAGTTTTGCAGGGAAGCTATAATGGGTAGTTGTTTCTGTTAAGAGTTTTTCTATTCTATGGTGGGTTTTGTGTGTGTGTGTGTTTGCTTTTTCTTTGCAAAAGAAACATAGATTTTTCTCCCTATAGATAAAAATGAAGGTATATATTCACTTTGAAGAAATTTGGGCTCAACTGTATGTATTCACATTTTCAGGATCCAAACTCTTCTGTATTTATGGATGCCATTTTATAATTGTAACTTAAAAAATATTCTTTTAGTAAGTTCCCCTCAGTGGATGCAAGTTAAAGATGACGGATTTCCTGTCCAAGGCTGTGAAGACATCTTGGTAGTTGGACTGGCAGTATGTTGGGGTGGAAAAGATGCCTACTATATCTCTTTGCAGCAGATACAAGACCAGACTGGTAAGTGAGCTGTGCTGTGTTACATGACACTGCATTTCAAGAAAGTACCTTCAGCAGATAGGTTCCTGGAAGTGTTTCGTGTGTCCCAAACCCGGATCAAATGTGTGATGGAGTAATTTAGCCATGTTATTTAGCAGTCTTAAGTGTTGAACACCCTTAGGCATGTTGCTGTGGATACATCTATGTAGCTATATAATAAGGGCAGGTAATTGGCTCAAGCACTGAACTGCTGAGCATGCATACGGCTAAAATGTTAGCTTACTCCCATGTTCTCTTTAGCTTACTTAGTTTTCTCTTTCAACCTCTTCCAATTTTTGCTCTCCAGGACATATCTGATACTAGAATGCTGAACAGAACCCAATCTGTGCTACGTGGGCTTGTGACTAGGGTTTGATTCCTGACTATTCTTTGTTTAGTAGTAGAGGCACAGCATATTGCTTTTGGGAACCTTGTCTGGTTTAATAAAATATGTAATATCAGTATAGATTTATTGTTATTTGTTCACAGTCCAACTGTAGCTTTTGTGATTTAGATGATTGCATTCAAGATTTTTCTCTTGCCTTTCTTATCATGCAAAAGATGATATTTGCTTGTATTTCTTGCCTTAGAAATCAGTATGAGTTTGGCACCGCCACCTTTGGACAAAAACCTATCTGTAACAGAGAGACTGTATCATCTACAGCTGTACCTGCAGAAGAAGTCCAAGCAAGAGCGGTCGCTTGTCATGTATAACTTCATTCAGCACTACAAGACTCTGGTGACGGCTTGTGGCATCTCCTTGGAAGGAAGTTTTGAGGACCCAAAGGTTTGCAGGATTAAGAAATTTAGCTTGGGTAAAACTACTAGTTTAAACATACCAGTGGCACATGCACACCTGTCAGAGGGTTTAGTGACATTTTCTTCCAGTGGGAAATCTAGAACAGTATTTAGAGGAGACTTCTTTTGCTCTCTGTGTTCATGGTGCCTGCAGGAGAAACAGAGCAGGTTCAGTGAGAGCTTAACACATTAATCTTTCACACCTGATTGCTTGGATGGGGAGGATGAGGTTAAATCTCTCCCCTGTCCCAGTGGACAGGGCTGAACTCTTGTTTTGTTGCAATAAGAAGCCTGGAACTGAAATGGCAGAACTGCTCCTGGTCAGATTATTGATTCTGAGAGCAGAAGACTTTGTAAACAAAAGATTTACCAGCTGTATGGACCACCTTCCCACCACTATTTTCTCAAAACAAAACAAAGTTTACATGTAATTTCAAAAGATTGGGTACCATTTGTAACTCAAATGAAACAGTACAAAGAGGTAAAAGCACCTTCTCGTGCTTGTTAGGAAAAGCTCTAGATGCATAGAAATTTTTGGTGTTGATTTTTAAAGCTTGCATCACACATGGGCTGAATAGCATCATGGCCATATTAAAGCCTGCAGGTAAGTAGCTAAGGCATTCAATACAAGGACAAACTTAGCTTTTCATACTGATACATAGTTTTAGAATAAAATTAAAGAGCAATAACAGTAGCACCTTTGCCTGCACTGTTACATGTATTAAATGGAGTCATACTCTTATTTGTTCATTTTAGTGATGCAATGAATACATACATACACACGTGTTCACGCCCCCACACACCCCCATACATACACATGTGGTTTTTACTCCTGCTTGCATGGCAGAGACAATGTAGAAACCTGTGTTTCATCCTATTTTGACTCAAGAAATTGAAATATAGCTATAAGCAAAATTGCTTTGAAGACAGTGGGAGGTATGAGGCTTACTGTGAATAAAATTTGCCTTGCAGAATTCTTGGTACTAGTGCTGATGTGCATAAAATAGGAGAGCTCAGCTTGACTAATATTCTAGATTGATAGCAAGTTCTGATTTTTACAAAGTCAATTTTCAGATTAAACATGTTTTGATCCTGATTTTCATATTTGATCACCTTTTGTGTTAGGTTTTAATAAATGAAAAAAACTGAGGACAACGCTTCTAGGTGCGTTTAGTTAACAAGAGGATAAGGTTTTCAATTGTGTAGAATTAACTTTGAGAATGAAGCTTTTCAGTGACTTATGCCCTCTTGAAGGTTTTATCTCAAATCATGTAACTTTTCCACAAATTATTCCAGTCCACCTGCCAAATCAAGAAAAAATAATCTGCACTATAACCTTGCATTAACCCCCTGTCAAATATTTACATTATATTATGACTAAAATGAAAAAAAGGTCTCATGGAGGTCTCCCTTTTTAAGGTTGCATGTTGGCTGCTTGATTCTGGCTCTAAGGAACGTACACTTCACAACATGGTGACTAACTTTCTCCCCAACGAGCTACCTCTACTGGAAGGGGTAGGCACCGGACAAGGGGTGCAGAGTCTGGGGCTTAGTGCAAGCAGAGATCATTCTGGGAGGTACAGAGCAGCAATAGAGTCTGTGCTTATCTTCAATGTCATGAACCAACTCCGTAATGAATTACAGAAGGAAAATCTGACAGGTAAACAATGCTTTTCCACTTGGGGGCAAAGATGGAGGATAAAGGTAGCTGTGCTATCACAGGCTGAATGATCAGTGGAGAAGAGAGGAGACTTGGAAGTTCTTATCTAAATACATTTTGTGGTAAAATGTTCATTTGTTAACAGGAAAGAGGGAACTTCCCTTGGAAGTACATCTGTTTTGTCCAAAAAATTAAATTAAATTTTAAATTAAAATATATTTTTTATATCCCAAATATCCACCAGTTCCATTGGTTTAGGCAATAGCAGAGTCTGTTTTAAGTCTCTGAATCAAGCAGGTATCTACCTCCCAGGCAAGTACCCTAGCCATTCTGAGGGGACTTGTGGGCCTGTCTATGGTTTCTCATGAACATTTTCAAAAGCTTTTGCATTTTCTTGTCAGAAGCAATTCCTAAAATCCTCAAATGTTTTCTGAAGAGGATTTCTTGCTCTTCAGCCTGCCCATATAGCATTGCTTGCCATGTAGGTGTTGTGTCCATGAAACTTTTGTGATCCCATAGTGAATGATCCAGTCTGTTTGCACTGGTGTTTGCTGAATGCTTGTCTGTGTTTAAAAACAAACCACCCCCCACCCCCAAAAGCACATACCTATTGGTGGGCTTTATGATTGCTTCCCCTAAATTGTATCCAAAGCCTATGGTTAGGGTCTAGTCTCACTGAAGTCTTTTATTGCAAGTTTGCCACATCATTTATGATTGTGACAACTAAACCTTAGAACATTTTAAAAAGACGTGGGTGATGGAATGAAAGTGTATCAAGTTAGAAAGCTTTACAATAAGCATGTCTGCAGTTTATAAAATGTTGATACACAAAGAGATGTGTATTTCTTAGAAAAATATTTTTTGACAAATTGTTATTCTCTTAAATACTTTAGTGATTAAAAAGTTCTGGAATACTTATTATCAAATATTTCTTACTATGAAATATTGCAGAATCAAAATTATTTAAACTAAATCTATATTACATTTCTAATCTGTAAGATTTCAGTGTGTGAGGACATTCAGGATTTTAAAAACTGAGGATTCCCGAGTTTTCTAATGAATCTGTTGATCTGCAGGTGATCTGTTTTTGATGTTGTAAGTTTTTCTTGGGGTTTCTATTACTACAGATGTATTTTCTAAAGTGGAGATGCCCACCCATTATTGCTTGGCTCTGCTGGAGCTGAACGGCATTGGTTTTAGCACAACAGCGTATGAAACCCAGAAACAGGTCATGCAAGCTAAACTGAGCGAGATTGAGACCAAGGCGTATCAGCTGGCAGGCCACAGCTTCTCCTTGACCAGCCCTGATGACATTGCAGAGGTATGTGAGGGTTAGAGTGGGAGGGGGAGAACTTTCTCAGAAGTTACCCCCAAGAGGCTTTTGCTTAGACTTAAGAAAAAAAATTGGGCAGGCTGCATATGAAGAAAAGACAAAAAGCAAATTGAACTCTGCTCAGTGTTGACTTGTCTTTACACTCATTGTGAGCTTGCTGCCTGCAAGCTGCTGCACGTCTCCTGCTTGTTACTGATCATTTTGATTTCTGCTACCTTTAGCAGAAATAGAGACGGTAGAAGTGGAAATAAGCATGTTGTTTGTATAGGACCTTGGCTTCTCATGGTGCATGAGATCATCTGCCAATTAAATGGCTTTTGGAATATTTTGGATTAATGGTGCAGGACTGGAGAAGCTTTTTTTGCAGGACCAGTATTCTGCACGTAGGATGTGATGTGATCATGTAGTCTGAGTCTAAGAATAGTTGTGCTGAATAAGTTGCATTGTTACCCTTATCTCTGTACAGGCATGCAAGAGGAAGAAAGACTGCTTTAAAAGTTTTGAAACAACTACTGCCTGTTTTTAAGAACCTGTATAGAACTGTTGGGCTTTTTTTTTTTTTTTTAAAGCCTATGAAACAGATTTCTATGTAAACTAGCAATACTTTTATTCCTGAAGAACTTTGCTATAGTTTTTAATGTACATTACATGAAATGATAGGAACAGATTATAATTGCTGTGCATGATTTTTTCCCCTTTTATTTCTTTTCTATATAGCCCCTGAGCAAGAAATTAATATACTTTATATGGAAATAGTCAAAATTTGCAAGCAGCCATGACTAAAAGAAGTTCCACAGAAATATTCTTCCTTTGTTGCAAATGCAGAAGTTTTTCTTGGTTACAGTAATCTGAGTTAGAACTCCTGAAATAATGCTCAGCTCCAATTTCCCTCTGCTTCATGGGAAAGGGGAAGGAAAGTTTTTTCTGAAATGTTGTTCTCTGAACTAGAGAAGCTTGTTTCCCATGTGGAAATTTTGTTAGAAATCATGTAAAGTATCTTGTATAGGTTAGTAGAGCTTTACCCTTCTAATTTTGTGTCAATAAAACTTCTGTGCTACAAAAATGTGCAAGAGAAAAGCTTTTATTCCCTTCTGCCAGCTGTGAAGTGAAACACAATAGCTGCTAAATAGTGTATAATGCTACAGAGAAACAGAAAATAAAAAAAAATGAAGAACTGTGTTCTGTGTGTCAACAAGTGAGGATATACTGTTTTTTTTTTTTTAGTTCTTGGCATATTTTTAGAAAAATTAATATTCTGGTTATTCTATAAAAGCTATTTGTGACCACCTCCTTCTGTGCCATTCATTCTGCTCTGAAGCCTGCTCCCTGCTGACACTTCTTTTTTTCCCCACCAATGTTCTTCCCCCTTTTAGTCATCTTAACTCCACATTTTATTGCAGTTGACTGTCAGCGGTAACCTCACTTACTGGACGGAGTTAATTACCTTTTCTAAAAACATACGTCTGAACCCCAACTTATAGTGTTCAGAAAATGAGATTTTTAGATTGCATTTTGTAGTTAATTAAAATGAGAAGGAATGACTTTGATAGCAGAGATCTTTAATCAGCTTTTTAATTACCTGAAGCATTCGTACTATCCTTTGGTTGGAACAAGCTGTTTAAGTGCCCAGTTGCTTTTTGTTTTCTCCTGGGAGTGGCGTGCAGAAAGTAATTTGAAATGCCGGCCTTTTTCAGGTTTTGTTCCTGGAGCTGAAGCTGCCACAACATGGAGATGTGAAAGTTCAAGGGAACAAGAAAACTCTGGGTTACACCAGAAGAACAACTGCTAAAGGAAACAGAGTTAGGTTGAGCAAGCAGTTCAGTACAACCAAGGTACGGTAAAGTCTGGTTCTAGTCTGAAAGTGACTGTAAGAATAACTCCTCTTACTTCACACATCTGCTGCTTGGATACATTGGAGTTAGGTATGCTAACTTAAATGAAAGTAAATTTTAACTACCTTTTTGTTTCTCCAGTTATCACTGGAAATTCAAACTGGATTCTGCCTTCTCTGTTAGCAGAGTTATTAACTCCTCCTATGCTCCTAAAGCCTGAGCGTAGTGAGGACATGACTATAAGTAGCAGGCTTCAATAAGAATAAATCAGGCAAAATTTAATTTCCCAAACCATGTGTAAGACCAAAATATCCCAATCATTTTGTAAAGCCAATAGTAGAAGAATTTTTCAACATCAGCTTGAAAGATACTTAAATACCATGGTGATTAAATAAAATATTTTCCTTGCCTGGTACTACCATATCTGTATTTTGTGCTTCAGGGAAATTTGTCTTCAGAATGGCTGATCTGATGGCTTATCAAATTTAGTATATCAAAAGCTTGTATAAATGTGAAGGCTATTGGCATGCTTGCCAGTTGATAAATACCGTGAAGCTGCATTAATCCCAACTGCTGCAGGTTAATGGGTGCTCTTGCCAGACAAGTGATATTAGCAGATATATATGTTCCTTGTTTTCAGGACTCATTAATCTGTGTTGTTTTTTTAGTTTCCCCTTGTTCGGTGTAGTCAGTGCTTGGAAGACAAGTATTGATTTCCGAAAGTCAAGTGGCAGAGAAGAAGTGAGTGCAGTGTTGATGGCAGAGCAGGGAGCAAGAAGCAAAGTGAGGATTTCCTCCTGTTGTGATATGGAGGGATAAGGCTGCAGCTGTCGGCTGCATAGAAAAATATGTTATTTTGAGAAATGTTTGCATGCCGCTGTATTTGAAATTCTTGTTAGTCCCTTCATATTTCTGATTTAACTGAAAGGATTTGATTGCTAGTGATCAGCTTTGTCTTTCAAGGAGTATGGTCGAGGGCTTCATTTTTTGTGTTCCTAGTGAATGGATAGGAGAGAGCAGGGAGAAAAATATGCAAGAAGATGGAGGAAGAGCATTAACGCTGGGCAAGAGGAGACAACATAGGGGACCTATGGCAAGTGTTGCTTTATTTGATCATTTCAGGTGATTATTGGTTGGTGCAGACTAAGAGTGGTGATGAGGATGCAGAAGTCCAAAGAGAAGCGATTGCCTTCTTGTGTGTATAAAACTGCAGCTGTGTCTCACGGTGCTTTAACTGCCCAGGTGTAGGTGGTGTAAGTGGAGGGGAAATCCATTTTATTTTAAGGCAGTGACACTGGAAGCTCACTGTGGGTGAAGGAGTCACTTTTCCTGCAGAATTGCAAAAACTATTTATAAAGCTTTTAAGGCAGCTAATTTTTCCCTACAAGGACATTTTGGAGAAATTAAAGACACTTCACCCGTTGCCAGGGCTGATATTGGAATGGAGGAGGATCAACAATGCCATTACTAAAGTGGTGTTTCCACTACAGAGGGAAAAGCGATTGAATTCTGCACTGGGAATGGAAAGGATATATCCAGTCTCACAGACTCACACAGCTACAGGTAAAGACATGTGTGCAAAATCCTCACTTCTTACTGATTTGTTTGTTTGTTTGTTTTTTGTTGTTGTGTGTGTGTGTGTATGTGGGCAGCTTTTCTGTGGGGAAAAGATAGGAAATCAAGCCCATGTTCTACTTCAACCGAATGAAAATACTGAAATACTTAGGGCAGATTCATGTGAAATAAAAGTCTAGATGTGTTAAAATAGCTTTTGTGTTCACTAAGCAGTATTATTTGTTTCTTGCACATATTAGCATGATACAGAGACTCCTTTTGTACCCTTATTTAGTTCTGCCTTGCCTTCCTTCTCAGGTCGAATAACCTTCACAGAGCCAAATATCCAGAATGTGCCAAGAGATTTTGAGATCGAAATGCCAACTGTGGTTGAAGAAAGCCCACCTTCCCGAGCCCATGGAAATGTTAATTCTCGTGCTGTTTTGGGGGGCAGGTAGGATGATATTGGCAAAGCTTCTGTCTACTCTTCTGATCTTAATGTGGTCGAGTTGTCAAATTTCTCTTTTCTGACTTCACCTGTAGCTACTGTCACATCAGTGTGACTTGTTATTTAGTGTTTCTCTTACAGTTTCAGGGGAATAGATATCTAAAAATCAGTGACACATGAAAGACCTAATAGTAACTAACAGCATGTGGTTCCATGTAGCCACTTGCTTTTTGAAATTCTTTATGAAACCCTACAGTGAGATTAGCATTATGCTCCCAACTGTTGGATGAAAAGCTTGAGCTGAAAAGTAACTAAACTGAAGTTAGGATCTGGTTTGACTTTCTAAGAGCTGCTCTGAAAGAGGATAGTATATTGTGGAAGAAGTAGAATGCTGTTTTATGCTGTGCAGTTCCCTGTTTAAGGGACGAATACATTTTTATTCTTTGTTAATAATTTCATTTGTGATAATGATCCTGCAAAAGCTACCATGTAGCAGAAAAAGATTTCTAAATCTGGTTGCTGTTAACCAAATGCCCTATTTTGACAGCATTACATGCTTAAACAGTTGTGTGGAAGTCTAGTGAAATATCAAGGTGGATCTTTTCGGAGCTAGCTTGTGAGCTTTGAGGCTTCATACCTGGTGGTGGTTTTCTGTCCTTTCAGTTTCTCTTTCCATTCAGGTTCTTGTCCTGCATGTGTCACCTGAGTGACTTTTATCATCTTTTTTCCCATAACAAGATGTGAGAACATTCAGAAGTTTTTTTTGACCCTTCTATCTGTCTTTTCCTACCACCATGTGTCTAACATCCTTGTGCCTTGAATAGGTCATGGGAAGAGAGCCCAGGAGTAGCAGGATCTTGTCCATCCCTCTTCAGGAGAAGAACCAGCTGAGACATAGTTCTGGCAGTGCTCAGGCTTGCAGCAGCTTTGCAGGACAGCTAGAGAGTGGGCTGGGTTCTTAGAGTCTTCCCTGTAGAGAAGCAGCCCATCAAAGGAATGGAGTGCTTGCTGAACTTTGAGAGGTCAGCTTCTCAGGCTGACCTTTGAGACTATGTTCCTTAGTTACGCGGCCACTGCGTTAGGAAGATGGGCAGTCCTAAAGGCACAGAAATGACTGCTGGCACAAAAGAAGCTGTCGTGCAGTCTAAGTCTGATATGCCTTCCAATCTTTGGTCCAAACTGTCTCTTATCTTAGTAATTATTATTACTACTCCTTCCTCCTGTTGTAAGAAGCTTCTGACCAAAGGAGTGTAGCTAAATTACATCATGGTATAAAACCTTTACTCATTCAACTAAATTGGGAACTTGTGCTGGACAGTGTGATTCTCTACAGTTCCCATATGTTGTCGCTCACCTTTATTTCTTTTGAAAATGTATTTCTGTAATTTTTGTGCTATCTTTCATCTCCTTGATCTCTACAATCCCTGAAATGACAAGGTATAAGAAAAAAAGAGAGTGCACAAGGGAATAGAGCATGATGTCTTTTCTGTGCTTTGCTTTGCTGAAACTAGTCTTGATCTCAGAGATACCTTTTCATTCTGATAAAGAAATTGTTCAGATCCCTGACCCAAACGTCAAAGACTTATAAAGGCCTTTTGACTCCAAGTGAAGAACACAACAGGCTGGCTGGTAGACTGGCACTGATGGGAGTAGGATGTCTGAGTGGTGTCACAGCTGTGCACTGTTCAGTGACTGCACTGATGGATACAATTCCATCTGTAGCTACAAGGGACTCGGTGGGACAAGAGAGATGAGCAAGCCCTGAGAGGTTGCAGAGCACCTGGTGCCACTATAAACTTCTGACGTTCTCGAAAAAGAAAATCTGGTTGCTTTGAGGCCATTTTTTTTCTCAGTCTGTAGAGAGGAAACATGCAATGTTCTATGAGCACGTGTTCTACAACTTCTGCTCTGCTTTTACAGGCTTACTTGCATGCATGCGCATGCACAGTCATGAGGCTTATGTTGTGGGGGAAATCTTTTCTCTCCCTTCTAGGCATTCTGCATGTGAGAATGATGTTAGAGAAGACTTGGCACTCAAGGAGGGGTGTTGAATTTTTAGGATTCTTGTAGGACTCCTTTGACATCTTTCTGGAATGCACCCATCATAGATTTGGGGCCATTCATCTTACCTGTTTTGGAGTGGAATTATCCAACTTCTGGACCAAACTCTGAATGTACTAGAAAGATTTATCCCTAAATCTGTTCAGAGTCAGTAAATCCCTTCGGGTGTACATGCGGCCTCTGTCCAGTTCCCCCATGGTCAAATTTAGGTACGGATTGTCCAGAAAGGCGGAATAGAAGCTACTGTCTCACTTGTTTTCACTGATCCTTTGTGGCAAAAATGATTATGCATCTTTCAGTGTTTTAGAATTGGTGAAGAACAGTAATTTTTTGTCTCCTCAGATGTAGAAAGCGTTCCAGTATTTTGCCTAATGACCTAAAGGTTCAGGCTGAAGACAGATCTGAAGAAAGAGGAATACCGTTTTTTGTTAGCATGAGGCATGCTTTTGTTCCCTTCCCAGGTAATGCTCAGATCCTGCTCTGTGCCAGCTAACTGTTAAGAATATAGTTAACAAAAAATTCTAGAGCTAATGAAGAGTTAAGAATTGATGATAGTGTATATCTGAGTGAGGAGCCTACTTGGAAAACTAATGCAGTAGTTAGCATGCACTCAAAATTATTCACAAGATTGTAAAGGAGAGCGTTTCAACTGGGGAAAGTATTCAAATGTTCACACCTTCATTTCCTCTTTAAGAATACATATTTTTTTAAAGAGCTGTAGTTAGGCAGCTCTTAGGGTGCAATTTGTGTATTATCTAGAGTGTTCATCTTCTATCCAAATATCAGTTCTCATGTTGCCTGCCCTGGCTCAGTACAAGTCTACTGGTCTGGTCTCTGTGCTGATCATTCCTATCAGGTGCTAGACCTCTACATAGACAGCTGGACAGATACTTCTCTGTGTGTTTTTGATGGATTTTAGATGTAGGGGCTGGGTGGAAAGCAGGCAGGCCTGGGCACTGGGGAAACAGGCAAGAATTTGTCTGATTTAATTTCTCCTACTTATTGGCACAATTTTCAGCAGTGGCAGAAGCAACCCTGAAAGGTATTTGCAAGAAAATGGAGACTGAGGTTGCATAGAAATAACTGTGGAAAACTTTCAACGCAGAAGGTGCAAGGGCAGCTTCAGTCCTTCTCGCTGTGGTGGTTATGCCTCTCTCAGGCTACCTCACATGAGTGAAAGTTCTGTGGTTTAGCAGCATGTGCTATATCCTCTTTGCACTGGTACCACCCAGGTGTAAATGATGGCAACCATCAAGTATAGGTGATTCAGGCCTTCAGTTTCTCAGAGGATGGAGGGTCATGTGGTTAGAGTGTTACTGGAGTAATTTATGAAATAATGATTTCTGCTACCTTCTTGACCTCAGGTGGCTTAATCTTGGCTGCCGATTACTCTCAGCTTGAACTGAGGATCCTTGCTCATTTGTCCTGTGACTGTCGACTCATTCAAGCCTTGAATGGAGGTACTGATGTCTTTAAGAGCATTGCAGCAGAATGGAAAATGATTGATCCCGAAGCTGTTGGAGATAGGACCAGACAACAAGCTAAACAGGTAATTTTTAGGAAAAAGATTCAGCAGCAGCTTTCTGGACAGGAAGATTCAGTGTTCAAAACATCAGGGAGTCACAATAGAATGGCTTCCCTTTGGGTTTGGCTGTGATTGTTCAGTAGTTGCATTGTATGTCCTCCCACTCTCAGTGCATTTCAGTTGGAGCTGTCTGGGTTTTGTGGGATGAGGGTGGAGAAAAGCGGTATGAATGGCCTGGACTCAGAGGTAGTCTCTTTTCTTGAATGTTTGCCCTTGTTCCTATATACTTGTCTTCCAATGAATCACATTCTGTTTTGGCTCTGCTTTCTCTGCATGGCTCACCATATGGTTGTGGTTCTTCACACTGTCCTCTGGCAGATTTGCTACGGAATCATCTATGGAATAGGAGCAAAATCTTTAGGCGAGCAGATGGGAATTGATGAAAATGAAGCTGCCAATTACATTGAATCCTTCAAATCAAGATACACAGGTTTGGATATCGCTGTTTGGGAGCTGTGTGGTGGTGGTTTGTTGTTTTTAATCCCTTCTCTCCATGCCTTTTCAAATCCTAAATTTGTTTCAGCCCTCTCCTACTCCTATCTCTTTTTCAAAGCTTTTAATTTTGAAAAAGTCCAGTGCATGAACACAGCAGTTTGATACTCCACAATGTTTTACTCTACACTCTAGTTTTATTCATCTTTAGGACCTTGTTGTTTGCTTATTAATTTTTTTTTAATTAATTAATAAGCCCTAGGGATTCATTTTGAAGTTCTTAACTGTCTGAGTAAGAAACACTCTTTTCTTTATTACAACACACAGCTTCAAAGGATATGCAATACAACTTTAGACCATACTTCTTACCATTTTTAAATATAACCATTTCTCTCTTCTACTCTTGTCTCCTGCTTTCGTTGAGTTTTAAACTGTTTTGCATATAACCCTTCCATTTTTATGTAGCTGCTCTGAGCAGCTCTCCCATGTTTTGTAAAAAGACATTGTTGCATTTCTAAGAAGCATGTTAATTTTTAGGAAAGCTATAGAGAGATTAGAGCTGCAATCAGAAAATGAATGGCAAATGGGATGAGAGACAGCTAGCTCTAATCATAAAACTTGGAAATGAGCTGGAAAATTATGTTCTGAAAATTCAGGGTTTGTTTCTTTAGGAGGCAGATGCTGAGAAATGGTGTCCTTTAAGAGTCTGTTTATTCTCCACTAATTACTGGATAGTGTCTCCTTCGTGACCATTAGCAACAACTTCCTGCTTCCTCCCTCTTGGTACACGTGCATATACATGAACTCCGTAATGTACCTTGTATTGTAACTTCACTTCTTATGAATTTTCACTTATATTTATTGCCAAGCTGACATGCTAAATTACATACCGAATGAATTGACTAATACCGTCAGTCTTGGCCTTGAATAGCTCATTTTATGTTTTGTAAACCTTGGAAAGAAACTGTCTGAATTTAACTTTTTCCACTTTAGTGCAGTTGTTACCTGAACTTGCAGTGAAAGGGATCTTCCCTGTCTCACTTTGCTTTGACCTAAGTTTCTTTTTAACACTCTTGGTGATTCACTCCTTCCCTTGCAAAGTGCAGGTGGGTGAGTTCCTTTCATCCTAGAATCTGAAGTGAAAAGTCTGAAGTCAGGCAGCCTGAGGCATCAAGGGCTTGGACTTCTGCTTTCAACTTACTCCCTCCCTACTACTTGCATTTGCAGTGCTGGTCCAGGTCCTGACCTCGCCATTATCAATAATACACGTATGATCCTCTGTGCCTGGGTGCTGTGCAGAACGGACTTCCTACCTCCTTCTGCACAGCCAGATATCCTGACATTCTGCCCTCTCTTCCACCTCAGAAGTCTTAATGGGTTTCCCAGCAGAGCTGCAAATAGGCTGAATGAGTGATCGTCTGCCCTTGTCCACTGACAGGCTCTAGGAAATGTAAAGAATTATCTTTGTGCTGCTTGGGTGTCCTAGACTGCTTTCAGTGACCCCAGTGAGAAGTCAATATGGAATGTCAGTTGTATTAGGGAAAACTTTCTCTTTCCTTTCACAGGGATTCAGCAATTCTTGAGGGAGACAGTGAGGAGCTGCAGAAGAGATGGGTTTGTGCAGACCATCCTGGGAAGACGGAGATACCTGCCAGCTATCAAGGATCCAAACCCCTACAGTAAAGCTCATGTATGTTGAGTGCAGTAGTGCAGTACCCTTTTTTATTTGAATTTTTTTTTTATTATTGTTTAAATTTCTTTTTAAAGTATTAGATTTCTTTGCATATCCATACTTGCAGTTTTACAGGGTCTATGAGCCATCTTGGTCATGACCTTCCACTTCTCACTTAGTTCATTGTTCCCTCAGTTATTCTTTGAATAACAGAGCTTTTGTCATGGTCTGCTTGACGTAAGTCTTCTGTGACTGGGTGTACAGCTGTCATCACTGTGCTAACCTAACTTCAGAACTCCCACGTTGGAACCAGAGTGAGTAATTTATTGAAATAAGTGGACATGATTTTAAAAAGCCTCCGCACAGTGATGTGCTTTAACTCTTCAGGCTGAGTTGCTCCCACTCAGCAGTCTTTGTATGTTATATGCTGTCAGCACTTGAACAAAAAAGAGCATTTAAGTCCTATATTTTCCTTTTCTTATTTCCCCTCAAAGGAAAATTGCTCTAACTTGTTAGATAAATACTTACTTAATATACGCCTTTGCACTGGCATTATTTTTGTTAAGGTCATTTCGGACACATCTGTCATAGACTTTACTTCTGTAAGAGTGAATTGAGTCCCTGGGGAGATGTTGGCGCATTTCTCTGGGGAGGAAGCATTACACTCCTCAGTAGGAAGCTGGATCAGGTTGTGTGGAATTAGACTACAGTGGAAGAGGTAGGAAGTGGGGGAATTTGTACTTCAAGTAGTTGAAAGGGAAACAAGGAGACTTTAAAAAAAAACTTTTGAGATGATTTGACTATTGAATCTGAATCATACTTCAGCATGAAACTTTGCAGATGCACCTTCTGTTCAACTTTGATTTATTCTTTAAAATCACATTGAAGACCAGTTAATGAATTATCTTCACTTTCATTTCAGCTTCATTATAACTTTTTGCACACATTTCAGCTCTAATCAAAGAGAGAAGAACCTTTGAATACAGTTTCCTCGACTGAGGAGGGGATTATAGAGAGGTCTGCCATGTTTTTGCACAGCTGAAATACTATGGCAGTCAAGGTTCACTGCAGTAGACTGGATTATTAGTCCATTAAGTCCAGCTTCTTGCCTTTGGTTATCCATTCCTGATAGTACTGAAGATAGGATTGTTGAAGATAGGATACTGACTGGAGGGCTGGAGCACCTCTCCTATGAGGACAGGCTGAGAGAGTTGGGGTTGTTCAGCCTGGAGAAGAGAAGGCTCCGGGGAGATCCAATTGCGGCTTACCAGTGCCTGAAGGGGCCTACAGGAAAGCTGGAGAGGGACTGTTTATCAGGGAGTGTAGTGACAGGACAAGGGGTCATGGGTTTAAGCTGAAGGAGGGTCGATTTAGATTAGATGTTAGAAAGAAATTCTTTACAGTGAGAGTGGTGAGGCACTGGAACAGGTTGCCCACAGAAGTTGTGGAGGCCCCACCCCTGGAAGTGTTTAAGACCAGGCTGGGTGAGGCTTTTGGCAACATGGTCGAGTGGAGGGTGTCCCTGCCCACAGCAGGGGGGTTGGAACTAGATGGTGTTTGAGGTCCTTTCCAACCCAAACCATTCTAGGATTCTATGATAGGCAGAAGTGTCTCATGGTATTTGGATTAACTGTGAGATTTTTTGGCTTCTCATGAAACTATTACCGTGTGTGTGCTTCTCCCTCTTGTGGCCTGTGACTTTTGCAGCTAATTACCCTTGATACTAATTTTAATTTTGTGGAAATCCTGCTTTTCTCAGTCACTTGGAGAAATTTTCTGTCTGAAGCTAGTCTAGAATGTCTCTTTCTTTCAGGCAGAAACTCTTTATCTGGAGGTTTTACTATGCCTGTATTTGGCCATGTATTTATTATTTTTAATGAAGTACATATCGCATGCTGGATTTGATTTATTTTTTTTGGGTAGGTTTTCAGAACAACTATCTCTGTTTAGGCAGAGCGACAGGCTGTGAATACAACTGTTCAGGGATCTGCTGCAGACATTGTCAAAACAGCCACCGTGAACATTCAGAGACGCCTGGAAGCTTTCTCCTCTGCGATCAAGTCCCATGGGCATCTGGAGAGCTCCTTCCAGAGAGGTAAGACCGGTACGCTCGCCTCTTCCTTGTACACTAGATCAAAACTTTCAGTGTTACTTATTAAAAAAAAAAAAAAAAAATTGCCTGCAAAAAAAAGTTAGGGGTAGGAGACATTTAATTTCCTGATAGTGGTAAGTCTGTGTGTAATGGGCAAAAAAGTCATAAGAAAGGAGGAAGAGTGTCTGCTCAATACACAAACTAAAGCAAATGCTGTGATCAGATCAGAATCTCCAATTACCTCAAAGCACATCTTGCACAGGTTGGCAGTGGGAGTTCATATGTGCTGTGGTCTGTGATGCCACCACAGAATTGTTCCAAAGTAGGAAGGAGAAACCAAGCAGAAACTCTGGCTTCACAGGCAGTGAAAAGATAGAGTGCAACAACTTCTAGTTCCAAAAATACTTTTTTTTTTGTTTAGAATTAAGTCTGGAATTTGTTGGCTGGAATTTGATGTACAGAGACTCCATAAAAGCATTTTCTGAAGCACTTATGAGCATAAATTTCTTCTGGCTGCAGCTAGCAAATCTGTGCTGGGGTACTCATTCCCAGAGGAGTGCTACGAAGACTTTTTTTAGCATCATGTAGACAGTGTTTTGTTCATCAGTCATATATTTTTAGAAAGACAACTTAAGGGACGGAGTGCTATATTTCTTTGATAGTTCTTATGCTTCAACTGAAACATGAAGCTGTCTTAATATGAAGAGTCTGATGTGTAGGACTGAGAAGGAAAACTAAATAATTAATTGCCGAACCTCTAAAAATAGGTCAAGGAGTTTTATTTTAGAGAGACAAGGCTCAGAGGTCTGCTAAGAGTAGAAGGCATGTGCTCAGCAGAACTTTCCAGCCCTTCTAGGAGCAGCACCTACTGACCTTTGGCCAATGTAATTGTAGGAAGGCAAGCAGATGCATTTGTGACAGGTTTTCCTCCTCTGATACTAGCTGTTTCAAGAGCTGGAAGGAATTCTCTTCCAGCAAGTTATAAATGCCTGTACCATCAGAGAAGCATGCTGCATCATGTGGCTTCTTCAACATTGCTGCTTCAGTGTAAGGCTTGTGTGAGGAGCTGATGATGCTGTGAAACCCTTCCTGTAGATGTGAACTGGAGTCCTCCTGTTAGCTAACCTGAGAAATAAATAACTTTTGAGTGTCTGTGTGTGAGGTTGTGTTTGTTTATTTTTTTAAAAAAAGCTTTTACCATGGAACGGTTTGTTCAGTTGTATTTTTGTCAGGCAAGGCCTACCAGGATCCTGTTTTTGTCAGCTGCTTACTTGTTTATTCACAAACTGCTCTTTTTTTTCTTTCCTTTTTTTTTAATCAGGAGTAGTAGCTACAGTTTCAGATAACTGCATTTGGGAGGAGGCTTGCTGCCTTTTTAGACTAGCCATTAAAATGATTTTTGAAGAAAAACAGAATCCTAATTCATTGCCAGAGAGAACATTGTAAACCAACTTCTGATTAAACTTGACACGATTTTGTTTAAAATTTACTTTTAAAACAGATGGTTCAGGAGATGCAACTGTCTCTTGTTTCTGTTCTGATTCATATCATTATAATGTAAGGCTGAAATGTTTATATCTAAAATGCTTTTCATTAACATTTTTCCCTCAGTAGCTGTACAAATATTGATAGAATAGTAATGTTTTGTGGTTTTATCTGTAGGCATGGGCTGTTTCATTTTAAAGTTCTGCATGTTCTTTTTCTCAGCATTAGGAATGTGTGAGGGTTTTTTAATTACAGGAAACATGCCTTTGCGTAATGGTCTCTAACGAACTGTGCTCTTCACCTTTGTAGGAAGGCTAGCGAGGAAGAGAAACAGAGGGATGTTACATCCCATCAGCGGAGGTTTCTTTATCCTCCAACTCCATGATGAGCTCCTCTATGAAGTTGCAGAGGATGATGTCATCCAGGTACAGCCAAGCAGTTACTTTTTCAGCTATCTACTGCACGATGATGTTTCAAAAAACCCTTCCTTCTAGGGGCTCAGGTTCTCTTCCCTGGATCCCCTCTGCTGTGTGCTAAAAGGTCTGTGAAGACGATGTTAAATTGGATGAAGAATGATGTTTATATTCTCGATTCCTTTATTTTCAGACTCCAGTTCATTTTTCTAATGTGTGCTGTGCTGCTTAGAGTAGCAGTTCATGCAACTTCTCTGCAAGACTTCATGAGTGAAGTAGCTTAATATTGTTGACAGGTGTAGGGGGAAGTTTTTCCTTGTTCGGCGGTGTTTTTGTCTCCCTGTTTATACTTGTGTCTTCTGGTGCCTAACTCAGAACATGTATTGTTACAGCTGTGGTTTGTACTCTGCATAGGGAAAGGAGGATTCCTTGCTTTTGTTACTTTTTTCCTCATTCCCTACCTACCTGTCTTTCTGGTAGGAGCGTTATGGTGCTGGTTAGCAGCACAGTACACACAAGAAATGTGCTGTGTGGACTTAAGGTACCTTTCATGTGCATGTGTGTCTCTGTGCATGCTCATCCACTGTGAAGGGCGTTCCTGTGCCTGGGCATAGTGATGTCTCTGCGACCGCTTTTGGTAGCACGCGTTTTAGCCTTGGGTTGGCAGCTCGCTGTTTTCCCAAGCCCTGTGCACAAACGCAGGGAGGCTCCCAGGGCATCTTTCCATAGCTTGGGGGGTGTCTTTCTCCCACTTCTGGTCTGTGCATACACATCTATAATGACAAAGGCCCATTTCTTGATAGCAAGTAGTAACTCCTAGTCTGAGAGAGCTTTCAGCAGTAGTGACTGGCCTGAGCATTTTCTTTTTTTTTTTAATGTTCATTACGAACAAAAGATTTAATACTTTTCTCTTGAATTTCAGCTCAAGCTTCTGTTCGTTTTGCCAGCTCTGTTCCGACGTCTGCTGCCTCAATCCACGCAGGCTGGTTTAGAGATGAAAAAGCTTCTAATTTTCTTTCTGTAGAAAACTGAAATCCCCGAGTCTAGGCTTTTATGTCTTTAGATACTGAGTCCAAGTTATCACAATGTCCCCAGAAGAGCTTGGATTTGCTTATTATTTGTTGTATTATATTTTTTTCATTAACAACCTCAACTTCAAGGGAAATTATTACCAGCTTTTCTAACTGCCTTCAGATATAGACACAACCGTGTCCTCGGCTGCATCAAAAGCAGTGTGACCAGCAGGTCGAGGGAGGGGATCCTGCCCCTCTACTCCGCTCTGGTGAGACCCCACCTG